CACATCCTAATTTCATTTCTATTTATTGCTATTTAGAATGATAACAGCGGTGCATCCTGTACAATAGAACCGGATGCACTATTCAATCAGAAAAATTCTATTTATTGCTAGTTAAAATGAACATTTTACGTATTTACGGTCTTAGATTGAAAATTTTCATTCATTAAACTCAGTGTTCCCACTAGTCTATTATAATGATATACGTAACGTAACAAATACTAAAAATTATGCTAATCAGAAAACTTCGTTAATACTAAAAAGATAATGATTTCTTTCATATAAAAAAGTTATTGTTTTCACTATTATCGCAGCATGTTATAATGAAACAACAGACTGACTCCGATAATTTCGTTTTGTATCGATCACGCATTCTTTTGTTTATTATTATTATTGTTTATTTTTTTTACTTTTATGAATTTCTTGTCAGCTATATTATTATGGTATTTCTCAGAATAAGAAATGGAGCCGATGTGTTGGATCTTGAATACAGTGGTGCCTGGTATAACGTACTTAATCCGTTCCAGGTGCACGTCCGTTAAGTGAAAAGTCCGTTATACGAAACGCGTTTTCCCATAGAAATACATGTTAAAACATATAATTCGTTCCGCAGCATAAAATAACCGTACTGTACCATAAAAAAAATTAAAATGGAGCAGTCANGTGGTGCCTCGTATAACGTACTTAATCCGTTCCAGGTGCACGTCCGTTAAGTGAAAAGTCCGTTATACGAAACGCGTTTTCCCATAGAAATACATGTTAAAACATATAATTCGTTCCGCAGCATAAAATAACCGTACTGTACCATAAAAAAAAATTAAAATGGAGCAGTCACCAATTATGCCGGGTAGTCAGATGTTGTGAGGAGGTGGAGGAACACTTTCTTCACACATTCATAGAGATACACTTTTTACACATTGCAGCGGGTCTTTTTTTATTGTTTTTTAATCGAATTCAGATTCAGGAGAGGCTACTGGAGCTTGCAGGGTCAACTCCTCTTGTTCCATCCTTTGTTTTTTTCCCTGCTGGCTTCTTGAAAACCATGTCCAAGATGGTCTGCTTCTCGCTCTTCTTCAACACCTGTCGGAAATAACGGGCAAAGGTATCATTGTAGAGATCATTGATACTGTTGGCCTCAGCTCTGTTTGGATAATGAGTGTTGGTAAACTCCTGAACCTCTCCCCATTCGACAAGGAAGTTTTTGTCAACTTTCACTCCTTCTGATGATTTCTTGCATTGTTTCAATTGAAATTACTTTTCTGTTTTTTTAGAAGCCATGATCTGCACAACACTTGAATAAATGCAAATACCCTGCACTGAGGTGATGTACGTAATAAACAAGGGAGCAAGCCTAATCCCAACGGGAGTTCTGTACTTCAGATATACTGATAATATATTCTAATAATACTAATATATTATAAAAATAGCAGATTGTCATTGGCAACGGCAAAAGAGTGGAAACATCATTCGCACTTGTTCGTAGAAAGTCCATCGGTCGCCTCTTGTAACTGCCGAACGGAAAGTCCGTTGTCCGCAGCCAGACCGTTGCTCGAGTCACGTAACGGCCAAACAGAAAGTTCGTTATTCGCAGCGTCTGTTATTCGAGGCACCACTGTATGTATTTTGTCCCAATCCCTCATTATCCTCTGGGTGGCTCTGGTCACTTATGTCTATATTCACCCAAGGATCAAGAGTTAGATGTTAATCCTTGGGTGATCTTTGGATCATCAAGATCTTTGGTACTAGATTAGAAATTATGCAAGTTGTTCAATGAAATTACATTTCAATTCTTAAAAAAATAACAGAAACTGTTAAATTTTTACTTCATTCTTGCTCTTTGAAGATTGAATTATAAGTTTAATTCTGTTCTGATACAAATTACTTCATCCCAGATTTTTTTTTCAGTATTGAAATTGCAAGTTTTGCAAACTTGGTATAAAGTTGAGAACATAAATTTGATTAACTCCTTCTGTTTACTTTAAAACAGGATTTTACTATTATATATACATTTTCTAATACGAAAATATCATTAACGCGAATATTTACTTACATAAAAGAAATCCGTTTTAAAGATATTTTAATTATTTATTGTTAATGTTGGGTTGCAATTTTTAATCATACTTTTAATTTATTTAAATTAGAATATCTGCTCTCATATATCTAATATATCCTGTACATCATACTTTTCGTTTAACAATAGAGTCATTCCAGTCATCTAACACCTTTCAGGTGAATAATATAGAACAATACAAAATGTTTGAATTGAAATAACATGACTTCCAGTTTGCATTGGAAGTTCATATATAGTTAATCAATGCCCCCTAAGGTTTCCATATCTGGTCTTGTCTTTCATCTAAGTAAATCTGTTCTTGAGATTAAGGAAAGACAGATGGGTGGAAGGAGAACAATTGGAATTTATAAATCTACAATTTTTTTTCAAATTGCAGCCCAATAAAATTAATTTATTGATCAAAATATAATTTTATTACAATTTTATGTCATATTAAAATATAAAGAAAAAGGGCCATGCATAAACCTTATGGGAAATGGGTTCTGGTAATTTGGCAGAATCTTTGATTCTTTGTAGTTCTAGTGGTCCTGATCAAAAGTCTCTGTAGGCACAAAGCCAAATAGACCATGTTTGAATTATTAATTTAAGCATCCAAGATGCAAACCAGCATAATTCACAAACTGTTGTGAAGTCCTAAGTCTTTTTTGTTTTGAAAATATAAAATATGTCTCTTACAGTTTGTTTTTGACCATTATCAAATCTATGAGTGTTTCTTGCAAGAAGGACATCCATAGCATGCTGTATCTAGTGTGTTATATAAACAAGAAAAACTCAAATAATGATTTCTCAACAATGAAATCCAGATAATGTGCCAAACATTAACATTTGAAAACATTTAATATTTTCAAATTAAAAAAATGTAGGACTGTATAAATTATGCTGTTTATGCATCTTGGATGCTTGATAACTCAAAAACTATCCATATTTTGAATTTTGCCTATGGAGTTTTTCAACCACAACCACTAGAACTACAAACTATCAAAGATTCAGCCAAATCCACCAAGGTCCACTTTCCATAAGGCTTGTGCATGGTCCTTTGCTAAATATCTGCTCAATTATTTAATTATTAAATATCTTCTACAACTTTCAGCTGATATATATAAATGAATAACTTTAAATTGAAGCATAGGAAGGAAAACAATACCGTTTGTTCAAACTTTTTGTTTTTACACCTGATGACAAATTAGTTGAAAACATTTTCATATTTGTTTTCCTCCTTAGGTTTCAATTAAAGCAGTTATATATATAATATGATATGTCAATGTTATACGTACAGTGTATTTCTCCTTATGTTTCAATTAAAACATTTTATATATATATATATATATACGATATTGCAAAACATCCAGTTTTATAAAAAAAACCATTAAAAAAAATAATCAACTTTATTTATTTAATCAACATTTTAATTAGAAATTAAGTAATAAACTGTTTCATAATATAAAAATATTGCAAAACATAATAAACAGTGATGAAGTATTAAAAAAGGCCAATTAATGAATTTTGAAATGTTGAGCATGGACAATATATTTATAATCTTGTTAATCCATGTATGATAGAAATGCTATTTGATATTTAGAATATTTAAATTCAAACATTTCATTTTTTGATAGTTAATATATCAAAAAAATTTCTCATTTTATTCAGCATTAAAATATACTCTATTAATTAAAAAAGCTCTGGAATCATCCCAATAAAATGTTAACAATCACAAGTCAATCATTCTATATTAGAAATAGTTTACATATTGAGATCCTTTTCCTCCACTAATGTGAAGTTTTTATATTTATTTTATCTAACTTTATTACCTAATTTATCTTTACATAATTCATATGGTGCAGAATCATTCTACATTACTGTACTTACATATACTGTTTTTTTTTTTTTTTTGTAATAGTTGCGGTTTGTCTTTTTGATTTAAAACTAAAGTCTCAATCATACATGAAATTAGTACTTGGGCAAAATCTGAAGTTACAACTTTCTATTGATTGGATATTGGATCAGTTAATATATTTGATTATTACAGTATTAATACATCTCATTCAGTAACAGATATTTTTCAAAAATATCTATAACTCTTTTGATGATTTAGATAAAGTTAAATATGAAAATTGACTCATACAGATTATTATATTAACTTTGAAGAATAAGTTAAACAATGTTATTTGGCCTAAAGCTTAAAATGGAATTAGATTTAATTACTTATAATTATTAGCATAAGTTAGTCATTTAACTTTGCCTTAACTTAAAGCAAGTTACAACCAAAAGATAATCCAGCAGTTTAAACATCTGATTGAACATAGAATTCAGGTTTAGCTTATATTGTATATCTATAATTGTTTATTTTTTAAATCAGATTGGATATGTCCTTGAACTTACTTTATATAATTTCTGTACATAATTTACACAAATTTTGTATTTTCATCTTACAAATACTATATTTAAAAATTACACAACTTGCCTTACAAGTTTTTTACTATTTTAATTAATTTGTTTATTTTACATTTACAGTAAATGTACAATTTTGAAACATCTAGAATATGTATTGAATATACTTATTAAATATACATGTAAATAGTTTTGATTTCTTATTTTACAAAAATATTTTGAATTAGTATTTCTTAAGGAGTTACATTATTTAATTTCTAAAATAATTTTCAATCATCATACATCAACATAGGTTATATTTAATAAATCTTCCTTCATATGAAAAAAATATTGGTAGTTAACATTTCTAAAACAGTTTCTCTTTTTCACATAGCTAGTACAATGTATATTATTACTCTGAAATTCTTCCATTCAGTTACAAGAAAAAATTCAAGAAAAACTTTTCTTAAGCTTTTTTTTTTTTATAATTTGTTAAACCCAAAAAATTTTAACAATAAAAATAACAAAAAATATTACATATTTTCAACTTATTTTCTTGTATTTTTATTTTGATAATTACAATTTTATAAGAAATTTCATTTCTTTAAAATTGTAAAAAATCACAAATGGAAAAAAAACATACATTAACAATAGTAAGAATTTTAAAATATCAATTGAAGTTAGAGGAAACGTTAAATGTTGACAAGGAAAATTCTTAATATATGTAGAAATAACAAGCTTGTTTATTTTAAGAATCCAAAAATACTATTGTTTAATAAATACATCACAGCTCCTTTGTATGTTTGAGTGATACATACATACACACATATGTATTTCTTAATCAATATCCAATTCATTTTCAATATTAACATCATTAAACAAATCTTCATGAAATGGAGTTGAAGAATCAATATTGACTGGAGAATACTTCATTATTTCATTTCCTTTAATTATGTCATCATCATTTTCTTCTTGTAAAAATTCTGTGAGATGAGTTAAATTTTCGTCTGCACTAAGTTCTAATAAAGAGGAACTAGGCATAAGTTCATGAATCCAGTCCAAATCAGGTGAAATATTTTCCAGTATATCTGCAAAATTATTTTGAAGTGAATTTGACAAATTATTACTATTAGACGAAATAGCAATTTGCATCTGATCATGTTTTGATTCTTGATCTTTAATTTTGTTGCTTTTTTTGGATTTTGGAGATTCATCAGTTTTGTTCATTTTCAAGGAGTGATCTTTACTCGATTCAACAAGTGCATTCAAATTATCAAGAGGATCAGAGCTGCTAATTACTTCAATAGGGTCATTTAATTCAAATAGATGTTCATCCAAGACATTTGGCAGTTCTGTTTCGACTTGATAATCAGTAAACGAATTTGGACTCTCTTCATCTAAAGTTGCTTTAATCGGCGAAGCTACGTCTTCTTGAACTTCGGACGACAGATTAATTTCGGCATCGTTATCGGTAAAAATCGGATCGTTGACCAAATCCGTCACTTCGTGAATTACGGGACCAGTAGGACTATTCGCCGAAATCGAAAAAGAGGAACCATTACACAAATCGGCATTCAGTCTTTTATCTTTCGATAACTGCCTACTTAATCTCGGAATTTTCTCGCCCACCAAAATCTTTTCGCCGTCTCCTTCGATCATCAGAGGTATCTTCCGTTTAAGTCCGACATTTCGATTAGTTTGAATAATCGAAGCCAAAAACTGAACCAGCCTCTCCACGACTTTTTGCTGCTTCTTATCTTTTTGGCGTAGTATGGCGACCTCTCTCCACAGAGCCTCGTTTTCTCGCTTCATTTCGTGTATGGTAGAATCGAGAGTCTCCTGATTGGCGTGAATAGTTTCGACATCGCTTATAATGTCCTTCAGTATTTCAGTCTTCTTCTTATTAGGGCCACTCTTTGTAACAGGAATCTTTCGTTTTATCTCCGACAAGAGTAACTCCTGTCCTTTAATAAAATATTGATGATAGAATTCTATCTCTTCGTTTTCGTGATGAAGTCCACTCTGTGCGATATTCGTCATCTTCCTGAAACCGTACATATTTAATTGTCGTACGAAACTCGTCATATTGCCATGTTTAAAATACAGAGGTAGCAATTCCTTAGAGAATCGAGTTTGATTCTTAATAACAAAACTCGTACCGTCCGATCCCCAAGAAATTAGATCGTCGGTCTCGGGATCCTCTACTATCTTCCATAATTTAGCAATAAAAACAGGTAATCCCACATTATTCCTTACCAAATTAGGTGTTTGCATCATGTTTTCATTTATGGTTTCATTCACGTTCAATGAAGTATAATGTATTCGTCCATTACAAATATATGATAATATTAAATAATCTTATTCAATTTACCTGAACGTTACGTTGTGATTATTTACTTTATCATATCGATATCGCCCTCAGATTTATAAAAGTTGTTCTTATCGATCAGCACATTTCACTACACTCAATTAAACATGGCTGCTTATATATATAACCTCGTTCCCGACGAATTTCGTAAAATAATTTCCGCTTGTAAAAATATTATATAAAACTCGAGGCCATTTAATAATTTATTTAATTTTTAAACAATATATATAATTAATATAATATCTTTAATAAGTATAAATACATAAATACTGTATTTTACGGAAATGACGTCATGTTAAGGAAACTTTTGAATACTTTTTTATTATTTCTATTGTTCGAGTAATCCTATTACGTCATGGTATGGGCGTGGTCTGGAATTTGAATTTAGTGTAAATAATTCTGAAATAATTTTAAATTTCTATTTCGTTTAAAATATATCGGAATGAGGTAGATTACAAAAAGGGTATTATAAGGGGGTATTGATGCATTAAATTGTAATGTTTAAATGTCTAGGGGCGGGCGATACAGGTGGTCACGTGTCGTGTCTCGACTAAGATCGGACGTAACTTTTATACTGTGTTATTAATTATAATAAAGCGCAAACGGCTTAATTTTGAGGGAGAAATCAGTTTTTAAAAATATTGAAAATTCTAATAACGATTAAAATTATATATTTTTTAAAAATTTTGCGGCACGTTCGGTACGTACAGCAGGACAACCGGTGACGTCATAACAGTGATTTTTAAACGCAGTTGGTTATTTAGGAAATGCCTTGGTAACTACCGCCAGTTACCGGTAAGGCCAAGACTCCACTAGCGTAAAAACCTTCACCGTAAAAGCCTTTAATCACGTGATCTATTTGCGTTTGGGTCTGGATTGCGGTGGAGGTCCGGCTAGCGAAGTTTTTACGGCGATGGTACTATCGAAGTTGTAAAGGCAATGATTATATTCTACGAGTTTTTTCTGTACTATAATTAGAAATGTAGTAAAAATATCTTTACTTTCATATATTAACTTTTATTATCGTATTATTAATTAAGATGATATACAACACTTATTAAGCTTGGCTTTTTTCATTATATACTCTAAATTGAAGGATTTTCCTTTGGCCGTCCGTAACGCGTATTTTAGGCATCCATTATTATAATCGGGATACTTCTTGTCGTAGCTACATACACGAATACTTTCGGATGTTTTCGATAAATCTTTCCGCCACGAGGGAACGTACACAAAAGCTCGTTTTCCGCCATTTTCGCACCGTGTCACAATGACCTAGATTTCAATGACTTCTGATTGGTGGGTGGTACCGTTTTACGGTCGTATTCGCGTCGAAAGTTGAACACTGCTGAACTCGCTTTTACGCTGGTTTTACGACCTGCTCGAGCGTAAAATATCAGGGTCACGTGATTAAAAGCTTTTACGGCGAGAGGTTTTTGCGGTAGTGGAGTCTCGGCCTAACACCGGTTACAATTTACAAACGCGCCCTAGGAAGGTAGAACCAATTGAACTACTTGTCTGATGATTTGGGTATTCACAAGGGGCGTGCCGTGGCATTTGATGATAGGGAAGCTGTGTTTCTGTAAGAAGCCGACATCCAGGGGCAATCAGTCAATTGCGCGTCAGTGATGGTGTAGGGCAGGGGTCAGAATTAGCGGCTCGCGAGCCGCATGCGGCTCTTTGCATAGACGTTTGCGGCTCTTCGGACATAAACTCCAATTTCATCTCACCTCATTTCACCGCAGCCTTATAACTTATGAGTTTATGAGATAGAGCCGCCGAACAAACTTCGACTTGTTCTCCGTCCGCACATGACTTCACTCGCGTTGATCAATATGAGTCGCATAAGAGTGGTAGCATTTGAAGCATATCTATATATATAACCCATTGAACGCGTGTCCATCCATCCATGCCGAAAACGTTATGCCACTAGAAGCGCCTCTGTCGTGTGTCGTATTTCGCACATTTAAATTAACATGCGGCTCTCTGGTACTTTTGTTATCCTGTTTTCATGACAATTTGGCTCTTCTCACTTGACAAACTGCCGACCCCTGGTCT